CCGAAGCGGGGGGTGGCAGCTTTGACTCACACGTACTCTATATATGTACCTGGTACATGTAGCTGCCGGGTACCTGCCGCTTGTAAGGAGGTACCCTGTACTCCGTACTCCATATTCTGTAGGTGCAAGTCGGGCCCCCTCGCGTTCTCAAGTGATAGCTCACATACAACGTTGAAATGTGCTATATCGATTGCCAGATTGTATGCAGGATGCAAGTGCAAGAGGCAAGGTAATTCGGAAATTAATCTCCCCCAGGAAACCTTGGAAGTCTGGTGTTGCCGAGTTTTCCAGGTGATAGTCCTTGGCCGCTAACGGGTTACTAGCGTAAAGGATGAAGAGGAACCGGTCAGAATCAACAGGAATAGCCATTGCCAATCATAATTAACTTTGTATTTTATATGTACGAAGCACTTTGTACATAGTACTCCGTATGTATGTACGATATAGAATATCAGTCCAAATTGAACTTTGATACCCAAAAGAGTCCGGAGAATAAAGAGAAAAAAATGTAAACACGGGATAACTTCCCCCCCACCCCCTTTTCTCATATTCCTCTATAACTCCCGAGGCCTTTATATGTAAGATTGAGTTTAGCGTGTCTGTACCTGTGTACTCCGTACAGCCGATGCCTATTCGTGTTTCACAATTCCCTTTTCCCAGCGGTTTATCTCCCCCTGTTATCCACCAAGCCCAGACCATCTTGAAGATTGCCTTTCCAATCTTAGAACTTCGTCTTGTCATCTTCACTTTCCTTTTCAAAAAATTTCGATTTCAGAGCGCCTACGGGGCTCGGTTGACCTTTCCTTCAGGGCATTCAAAACCCGAGTCACTCGTTTACCTTCCTTTTACGCGTTTTTTTTCTTCTTCTCGAGCTTGAGTCTCGGCCTGGGGTCGACCATATCCAATTCTCTTCGAATATCCGATTCGCACGCCTAGGACATTCTCGATCGCAATTGACACATTCCGCGATATAACCCAAAGGGGTCCATTACAAGGCCAGACCGCCCATTTTGCCCGACATGTCGAACTCTTGCTTTTCACTGTCGGGGTCAAGTGCTTGTCCTGCCTGGAGTAGCTCGTCCATTTCAACTAGTTCCAGCCTATATGCGAGCTTGTGAGTGGAAACGCGGCCGATTATGCATGGAAAAAGTAATAGCTGACAGTGCGCTGTTAGCCCTTTCCTTAAAGGTGTATCGAATCTGACGGATTTCGATAATTCATTAAAAGATTATGTCCGTGGATCATACATCTCGACCAAGTACGTGTTAGCACCAATGGACTGGGAGAAGAGGCACTAACAGGCGCTCCCAGGTATGACGACTTACTGGGATGTCAAGGTCTCAATACGAGTGCGCCAAACAACTACTATGCCCAGTATACAACCAGTGTTTTGTGTAGCAGTGTCGTACAAAGCTCGATATCCGACTGCAAGCTTTCCACAGACGACTCGTTACCAATTTGCGTCGACACATGCGCACTTTGGGCACGAAGTGAGCAGGAAACCATGGCCAATACAGACCTATGCGTCAAAAGCGACAAGGACTACACGGACCTAATCTATGCCGAATTGACCATCTGCGAAAAACCATCCGACGCCCTTTCTGGAGATTGTGTAAAGGGAGCCGCGAATGAGCCTGACAACTGTGGCTTTGCGACAAATACCATTGGTCTCTGCACGTTTTGTGCCAACGGCACCGATAGCTGCTGCACGAAATCCAACGCCACGAGTCGCTGTGACGGTGTCCCAGTACCGACTGTCACTCTACCACCTCTCACGCCCTCGCCTTCCGCCACTGGAGATTCTAACCATGGCTTGTCGGGCGGCGCAATTGCCGGGATCGTAATTGGCGCCGTTGTAGGAGCCGCCATTCTTGCTGCTCTTGTTGCCTTCCTTTGTATTTTCATGCGCCGCCGCCGCCGTGAAACCCAGAACGAAGCTGCTCTCAACCAACCAAACCCACAAAGAAAGGGTGGATCGCTATCAATCCAGCAGCCCCCAAGCCCAACGTCGTACAACATGGTCCCAGGAGGCCGAGTCACACGGATGTCAGCACTGCGCGAAATGCCCAGTTCATCGCCCGCCTATTCGCGTACCTCGGCAGCGATGTACGGCGGTGGAGCCAAGTACAGCGACACGTCAGACTCAGAAGGCATGGGCGCCAGTCCAGGAGCCATGTCCAAGAGCATTCCCCCAGTAACAGGGAAACGTCATGGCTCACTCTCGAGCAGCTCGATTCTGGCAGGACTAGAAAGCGACGGCTCGCCTCGATCCGGCCCGACGAATCAATACTCTTCCCCCGAAGCAGTAACCAGTGGTCGATCAGAGCAGCTGTCGTATTTCCGCGACTATTACTCTTCAGATGAGATTCACGCCGGCGACAAGGTTGCTGTCTTGTGGGCGTACTCGCCACGAGCGGGTGACGAATTCGAACTTGACCGAGGTGAGATGTTAAGGGTGATTGGCATCTGGGACGACGGTTGGGCCACGGGTGTGCGACTTCCCGAGCGCGCCGAGGACCAGGACCTGAATTACCGCGAGCAACGCGACAGTGGTGTCTCGAGTGGCTCGCGTATGCATGGCACTTCCTCGCCAATGCCATCAGGTGAGATCAAGGCCTTCCCCTTGGTCTGTATCTGTCTACCGCAGCACTGGCACAAGATCATCGATGGCGGCCAGGAAGACGAGGACGTTTGAATACGGTTCTCAATTCTCAGTTTTCATGCAAAATTACGTCTTGACGACAGCGTGTTGATCCTTCCGGTGCTTTTTACACCCTGGCTGGCCATTCCCCCCAACGATCTCAGCGATCGGCTCAATGCTTATTTTATACTCGTATTCGATATACCCCCCATTTTACGACGGTCATCTCGTCTTTTCTTTTGACTTTTTTTTCATTATATTCTTCCATTTGATTGTGGAACCGGTCGCTGGCGCATCGGACTCGGTCAATGTGCTTTTTGCTCCTAGAGCACTCCGGTCTTTTTACGTACTACATATCGGTTGAGACTTCCATCAGATATCGGACACATATAGTGCTTTAATGTATGTACATAATTAGACCAATTTTATCAAATCTGAAGGTGCAATAATTCTAATGTATAATCCAATATTCCATGCCTTTCCGTCCCCCACATCTGGAAACGGAGTTTACGGGAATCCATTCGGCCTTGATTAACAATACAATTTGACTAATCCACCCCCTCAATTTCGCAATGTCTTTTATGATGGCGTATCTTTCTCTATATCTTTCTCTGTATATCTTCCTTCCCTAACAACTCTCACAATACATAATGTCTTCCCCAAAGATCATCCTCTACACCAGCCGCCTGTGCCCTTGGGCCCATCGCGCCCACATCGCCCTCAAGGAAATTGGTCTCGAGTATGAAGAAGTCACAATCGACCTGAGCAAGCCTCGCGAGCCGTGGTATCTGGAGGTTAACCCAGTAAGTGACAATCTTCCCCGCTTTCATCTATACACCATCTACAATACTTCACATTATATACAATTAAACTATATATACTGATATCCCAACAGCGTGGCCTCGTCCCAACCATCTCCTACGACGGAGCCATAATAAGCGAATCGGGCATCGTAGCCCAATTCCTCGCAGACGCACACCAATCCCACCTCCTCCCCCCATCGACCTCAACCGCAAACGCCCTCTACCGCGCACGCCTCTCCTTCTTCGTCGACGCCTTCTTCACCAAGGTAATCCCTCATCTATTCGCCAGTATCCGTGCCGCCGATGAGACCGAGCGCGATGTCGCCGCCGAGCAGCTAGTCGCCGGTATCGTGAAGGAGCTCGAGCCTTTACTTGAAGACACGGATGGCAAGGGCCCGTTCTTTGGTGGCAGTGATCGATTGACGCTGGCGGAGGTTCAGTCGGGCTCTTTCCTGTTGAGAATTTTGAGCTTCGCGAAGCCTGAACATGGTCTTGTTTCTGCTAAGTTTACTACTTTGGTAGAGCAAGCTCCGAGGTTTAAGCGCTGGGCTGAGGCGACGGTTGCGCATGAGAGTGTTAATTTTATTTATGATGAGAAGACTGTGGCGGATAAGATGAGGGCTAAATTTGCACCGGCGGCGAAGGTTTAGGTTTCATTTTATGTAGCTAGTTTGGAGCTTGGATCTTTATACATTAAGGAATGAGAAACGATTTACAAGATGTGATGTTTAGGCGTTTTTTTGTATGTAGTCTAATATATATATTGGTTCGGTATGAAGCAACATTCTTACGTTGGATTATATATTTATGTTGGGTACCTAGATAGGTATCTATGATTACCAATGTAGGCAATAAAATAACTCATAGGCAGAAGTAAATCCTCTGCTTCTACCTAGATATAGATGCGACAACATAGGTGGGCCAAGACAAAAATAGCCACTGACGTGTCCCATGGTTGAACCGGCCAATTTTAGCTCGCACCCACATTGTAGAGGCTCACATGTACTCCGTACAGAGAGATGTACATGTTATGCAGCTATGTTATATAGGCTAGATGTGATTTCGAACCCTAATGTACTAATATAAGTACTTGATACTTCGAGCTCAAAAAAACTCCCCCCAAGAACATCAATATTATTCAATATGAACATGGATACACCAGACACTAGATGTCATTTTCAAGTCAAAACCCCCAACAGCCTCGGAAAATATAGATATCTTAAAAATGAAACCTATTAGATCAATTCTCAACACGTCACTCCAGTTGTAAACAGGTACCAAGCACTTGAATTATCAAAAGTTTGATATCACGTGCAGCCACCCCCACTATGCCCATGGCAACACCTGGGAAACTATTCACCCCTCAAACTCCATCTTCCCCGTTTCATCCGTCTCCCTTGATCTCCGCCTTCAATCCCTGTAAGTCATTGGCATGCTACTTGGAGTTCTCATGTCAACTCGAGAAGCCTGGGGAACCCCCTGAGTTTTACCATCTCAGCCACTGACATAGTAGACAGCCCCGTCCTTTTTCGTCTCCCTCATCTACATACGCCATCATGTCGGTTAGTATTGACCCCTAAACCCTTACTATGTACTATTCAATACTGACTATGATATCGCGCAGCTCGCATCCGGGTAAGTCGTCGGTTCCCGCGCTCGCAACCGGTTTCCCCTCACTTTCACCATTTATTGACATCCGCCCCCTACAGTGTCCAGATTCATGATGACTGCATCACTACCTTCCAAGACTTCAGCCGGAGCCACGGCAAGACCAAGTACATCATCTACAAGATCGCCGATGACAAGAAGTCGGTTGTCGTAGACTCAGTTGGCAAGGACCAGGACTACGAGGTCTTCCGCAACGAGCTCGCCGATGCCAAGGACAGCCAGGGCCGCGCCTCCCCCGCTACGCCGTCTACGATGTCGAGTACGAGATCCCTGGCGAGGGAAAGAGGTGCGCATTCCTACAATCGCAATCGTTGTCAGGTTTCCCCCCGCTGACCTGATTATTCTCACAGAAGCAAGATTATCTTCATCTCCTGGGTGCCTAGCGAGACCCCCACTCTCGTAAGATTCCCAACCAGACCCCAGGCTCAGACTCAACAACTAATTTCATTTTCAGTGGTCCATGATCTACGCCAGCACCCGCGAGGTTCTCAAGAACGCCCTCAACGTCGTCACTTCCATCCACGCCGATGACAAGTCCGATATCGAGTGGAAGACAGTCCTGAAGGAGGCCAGCGGTGGCAAGGCATAGATGATAGCGCCGGCTGGATCCGGGCTGCGCGACTGATAGGGGTGCGCCCTTGACGGCGCCGCGGAACGATCAAATTCATAACCTTCTCTGCACACCGTTCTCCCATTTTCTTAGTTGCAATGCAAGACCGTTACGACTTGGCCCGTGTTTGTTTCATTTCGCGAGAGGCCTGAAGAGTCTTGATTTCACTTTCTAGCTTGTTCTAATTGTTCTGATTTCCACTTCAGGATGAGGATATTTGGTTAACTGGGCACTGAATCGTGTTGCCTGTTGGGTGTATTGCACATGGTGGGCGAGAAGATCAAGAGCTGCATGTTGAATGTAGTATAGTTAAGCAACTGGACAACTCCTGGCTTTTGCTGCGAAGGGTATTGGCTTGACTGGGCTAGTTTCTAGGCGGGTAAAGATTCCGATCACAACCAAAAGACTTGAGTGACTGATTGAAATTGGGGAATTTTGCGAATAGAGGTATAATAAAGATCGAAATAAGAAAAAAAGTCCATAGTCTCAAAAGATAACATCAAATAATAACATCATGCCATATGGCTGCAATGATGATGATGGTAGGAGCCGGTTTGGGCGATGAGCCAATGAGGAGGCGGCCAAACCCAAACCGCACTAGTCCCGACCGGCTCCTCGCCTTTCCACCTCAAACCACAAGAAACGTCTTCAAGTCATATCTCCATCCACGACCCTCCTCCACTCTCTCCTAAGCCGTGCCCTGGCGTGCTCTCTGGCTTTTAGACTCCCGACCCCACTCTAATTATCTCAATTGAACCTCATTTCGACGTGGTGCTTCCACCTCCCGCCTGCCGCACAATGTTTCTTCGCACCGTCTCTCGCGCTGCTCCTCGCAGCACCGCGGCCATCCGTGCCCCTGCTGTGAACGCCCTGCAGACCCGCGCTGCTTCGGACCATGCTATCCCCAACCCTACCCTCGCCAACATCGAGAAGCGCTGGGAGGTCATGCCCCCTCAGGAGCAGGCCGAGCTCTGGATGCAGCTCCGTGACCGCATGAAGGTCGACTGGCACCAGATGACCCTGCAGGAGAAGAAGGCCGGTACGTGCTATCCCTAGAACGGGTGTGCTTGAAAGATAGCCTCTCGCTTCGACTACCCTGAGGCTTCCGAGGTTATCTGTCTCGGGATGACCCGACCCCTCGAACCTCCACAATTGTCTTTATAAGTAACCTTTTTTTTCCTTCTTGCTGACATCAATTCTTTTTCTATAGCTTACTACATTGCCTTCGGCGCCCACGGCCCCCGCGCCCAGGCCCCCAAGGGTGAGGGTTGGCGCGTGCTTTCCAAGGTGCTCCAGCTCACTGCCGTTTCCGTTGCCATCTTCTACGGCGTCCACGCCTTTGCCGGCAAGCAGCCCGCCACTATGTCCAAGGAGTGGCAGGAGGCCTCCAACGAATATGCTCTGGTACATATATATCCCCCTGTCCCTTTCCGACCGCCGGAGAAGTTTCTGCCCCAGCCAAATTGAACGATGCTAACCTATCCCACTACAGAAAGAGAAGATCAACCCCATTCACGGCATCAGCAAAGAGGGTTACGAAGGCAAGGGCTTCGTCCAGAGCCCTCCTCTCGAGAAGTCATAGATGTACCGATCGCCCGACCGGGAATGATTTGATATCTACGCAGGACGGATGGCATCCATCGCACGACCTCGAAGTCGTTTTTATTCCAAGCTCTTTCCATAGCCATGTTCAGCATGTCTTTGTATCGGAGGATGGGCCTCCCGTGCTCGCGGCTGTCGACTATTCCCCCATTCTATCCTTTTTGGCAAGCATTCGAAAATGCGTGTATTCCGTACTGTGCTATAATCAATGTATCTCTTTTGTAGCCATAGAGAATGTGTTTTGGATTGACTATTAAAATATGTATGTGTATGTGTTTCCCCCTGCCGGGATGGCGTGGTCTACGGAGTGATTCGGAAGCAACGTAAGTGCGGAGAATCCCTGCGGAAAATGGTTTCGAGAGGGTTTCTATGGAGATGGAAAATAGGAAATTATAGATCATAATCATAATCACAATTATAGTATAAATGAATACGATGAGGAATAATGAGCATAATACTAGCTTCAAATATAAGTATAAGTTCTATAAGTTCTATATTTTCTACCCGGAATTGGTTGACCCAACACGTCAGAGATTTTCCGATGGATCTAATATAGTCGGACCAAAGGGCCATTGAACTTCATTATATATATATATATATATAATTTCAACATAGTTTACTTCCTTTATATATCAAAGGTTTCTCCGAATGTCATAGAGAAAAAAACCGGTGGTTCCCTGCACCCGGCCGCCAAGCCCCGGTGTGTGTGCGTGAATTCCAGGGCAACGGGCTGAGCTTTCCTCGGCCACCACCTCATCACGAAAGATTAATGACAATGAATAATTAAAAACAATAGAGATCATACATTGTATTTAAAATATCAATCTAAATAAGAAAATAAAGCTCCTTTACATTGTAGAAAGCTCAAATTGGTGCTCGGTTCATCACGGGATCTGTCGGCAAAACCGCCCCGGAAAGGCTAAGGGCGACCAGTCCCCATCCACCAACCTCTTCCCTTCCTCTTCTTCCCTCTTTTCCCGTTCCAACCTCACCTCTCCCCTTCATCACACTCTTCAACACCGTCATTATGTTCAAGAGGTATGATTCTAGGAAATCTTACTCTTCTATTCATTTTGAAAACTAATTTTTTTTAATTTCTTTAGCGGTCTCGCCCGGTCCTTTGGGAGGGCTGCTTTTGCCCGGACGACCCCCGTCGCCCGCGCCTTCCAGCCCATCCGCTCCAATGCTCTCCCGGCTCTTGCTCGTTTCGCTAGCTCCGATGCTTCCTTGACCGGAAAGGTTCACCAGGTCATTGGTGCCGTCGTTGACGGTACGTGTTGTCGACTCCTGACGGAAATGGGACCTCGCGAAAATCTTTTCCCTGGACCCAATCCATCACCGAAACCATCGAAATCAACCCCAAAATCATCCAACAAAACCGTATCTGACTTTCTATTCGCCATCTTACAGTGAAGTTCAGCGGCGAGAAGCTCCCTGCCATTTACAACGCCATTACCACCACCAACAACGGCCAGAAGCTCGTTCTGGAGGTTGCTGTACGTGATCTCATTGGTTGAACCTTGATTCAAAATCGCAAAGCTAACAATGCCATTATAGCAACACTTGGGTGAGAATGTCGTCCGTACTATTGCCATGGACGGTAAGCTTCACCTCCCCCTTCATCCCCCTTTCTTGGGCCACCGTGTCGTTCCCTACCCGATTGGGGGACCCACCGTGCACCCCGACCGTATATTAGAGCTTCAACTAACGTTTCTGTGAAGGTACTGAGGGTCTCTCCCGTGGTGTCGTTGCCACTGACACTGGTGCTCCCATCACCATCCCCGTCGGCCCTGCCACCCTCGGCCGTATCATCAACGTCACTGGTGACCCCATTGATGAGCGTGGTCCCGTCAAGGCCACCAAGTTCGCTCCCATCCACGCCGATCCCCCTGCGTTCGTCGACCAGTCCACCTCTGCCGAGATTCTTGTCACCGGTATCAAGGTTGTCGACTTGCTCGCCCCCTACGCCCGTGGTGGTAAGATTGGTCTGTTCGGTGGTGCCGGTGTCGGTAAGACCGTGTTCATTCAGGAGCTGATTGTAAGGATTCCCCTCCCCCCTTGAAAAATAGCATCGAATGCTTATACTTTTTGACCTTTTAGAACAACATTGCCAAGGCCCACGGTGGTTACTCCGTGTTCTGTGGTGTCGGTGAGCGTACCCGTGAGGGTAACGATCTGTACCACGAGATGCAGGAGACCGGTGTCATCCAGCTTGATGGTGACTCCAAGGTCGCCCTTGTGTTCGGTCAGATGAACGAGCCCCCCGGAGCCCGTGCCCGTGTTGCCCTCACTGGTCTGACCATTGCTGAGTACTTCCGTGATGAGGAGGGTCAGGATGTGCTGCTCTTCATTGACAACATTTTCCGTTTCACCCAGGCCGGTTCCGAGGTGTCTGCCCTTCTCGGCCGTATCCCCTCTGCCGTCGGTTACCAGCCTACCCTGGCTGTTGACATGGGTGTCATGCAGGAGCGTATCACCACCACCCAGAAGGGTTCTATCACCTCCGTCCAGGCCGTCTACGTGCCCGCTGACGATCTGACTGATCCTGCCCCCGCTACCACCTTCGCTCACTTGGACGCCACCACTGTGTTGTCCCGTGGTATCTCCGAGTTGGGTATCTACCCCGCTGTCGATCCCCTTGACTCCAAGTCCCGTATGCTCGACCCCCGTATCATCGGTGACGAGCACTACAACACCGCCACCCGTGTCCAGCAGATGCTCCAGGAGTACAAGTCCCTCCAGGATATCATTGCCATTCTCGGTATGGATGAGTTGTCCGAGGCTGATAAGCTCACCGTCGAGCGTGCCCGTAAGCTCCAGCGTTTCCTGTCCCAGCCCTTCGCCGTCGCCCAGGTCTTCACTGGTATCGAGGGTACCCTTGTTGACTTGAAGGACACCATCTCCTCCTTCAAGGCCATCATTGCTGGTGAGGGTGACGACCTCCCCGAGGCCGCCTTCTACATGGTTGGTGACATCAACTCTGCTCGCGCTAAGGGTGAGAAGATTCTGGCTGAGCTTGAGAACAAGGCCTAAATGTAATTTTGTCATTTGCTAGCTAGCGCCCGTCTTAACTTCCCCTTCCATCTTCAAGCTCTCCTTCTTTTCCCTCTCTTTTCCCTCACCTATTCTCTCTTGTTTCTCCCTCCATTTAATTCCCTTTGTCAGAACACCCAAAATGTTCCAACGTTGTACGCGACAACATCATTTCCCTTTTCGAGGCGTGTATATTACCATGTACATTACCCCTAAGGGAGAAAACCCAATGCAACAATAAAGGGATTTGATTTCACTTTTCTTTTTGCATGTCGCGTCAACGTTGGAAATCACCCGGGTTTTTTTTCTTTCTAGACTCGATCCGAAAGGAACCCGAGCAAGGGAATATGAAATGTTTGGGGGAGTTTGAGAGTTGAATCGTGGTTGGGGATTTGAGAGAAGAGTGTGTTTGTGGTTTGATAATTTTGGGGGAGGTGATGTGTTCTATCTTAGCGTTGATGGGATTTTAAAGCCGGTCTGGATTGGAGAGATACCTTACACAACCCCCCTCGACCGGCCTGTTTCATTATTTTGTGTATTTAGAGTTCAAAACCTGATTCTCGACATTTCCTTTGTGATGATGTCCTGGTTTTGTGTATGTGTAGATGTAGTAGTTGGGGAGATGTACATTCATCCCTATACAGCTGTCAACTTGATCCCTCAGCTGGTCTTGTCTGTATGTAGCCGTAGTTTTGATTATTCTTGAGGTTATATGATCCCTCTAAGACCTATTTCCCTCGAGATGGTCTCTATACCTATAGAGGAACATGCAACAGAACATCTTCCTCAACAGCCCTGTCCAGTCTACAATGCAAAATGCGTTAAAAAAACAATGTATATGATACGAGATTGTACTAGATGTAGATAGTTATAGTTGTGATTAAAAACAAAATGCAGGACATTACACAATGAAGAAGTCAGGTCAAAGCATGCCACACTAGCGAAGAACAACACTCAATACCAGAACCAACCAGCACGAGATAATTCAGTCTCCGACTTGGCGCAAGACACAGACATGGATTGGCGTTGACATTACAGAGTATTTTCCAGAGCAAGGACCTGTAAGAACGCAGAAAGTCAGCAAACCGGACCAAAAGCAAGGGAAAAAAGGGACACATACCAAAGCAGTCCTCGTAGGAATATAAACCTGCACGAAATTCCCCCTCCCATTCCACTCCATATCAGTAGTAAAGAAGCGTGTCTCCTTAACATTCCGTCCAAGCCCACCAAACTCCTTCTCATCCGTATCAAGAACAATACGGTATGTACCAGGAACATCAACACCAACACGGTAATCGGTAAAGCTCTGCTTGGAATTGAAATTGAAGATCCAAAGCAGACCAGCCCGCTCAAAGACAAGTACCTTGTCGCTCTCGTTCTTCAGACTGATATACGCCTGCGGCGCAGAAAGCCATCCGTACTTCTGCTCGGTGAGCTGCATCCCGCGGTCGAAGTCGTTCAGGAAGTGGTATCGGAGAAGAGGGTCTTCGGTTAGGTTTAGCTGGCGACGAGCGTACCAGAAGGAGTTGTCGTTGCCGGCACGGGGAAGTCCAGCCATTCGGGGTGCCCGAATTCGTTGCCTTCGAAGTTTAGGTAGCCTTCGCCGCCGAGGGCGTGGGTTATTAGGCGGATCATTTTGTGGAGGGCCATGCCGCGCTCGATTACGGGGGTGAATTCGGTTAGAGTGGACATGTGTGTGTACATCTCTTTGTCGCAGAGCCACATCATTAGGGACTTGTCGCCGACGAGGCTGTGGGTTGTGTGTTAGTTGATTGGAATGGGATGGTGGGGGATTTGGCTTACGCTTGGTCGTGACTCTCGGCGTAGGCAATGGTCTTCTCGCCATGGCGACGGTTGGTGAGCGTGAAGGAGATGTTGGCCATGTCCCACTCGTCATCTGTGCTTTCCTTCAACAGCTTGATCCACATGTCTGGGACGGCCATTGCGAGGCGGTAGTCGAAGCCAGCACCGCCGAGTGCGTGGGGTAGACACAGTGCGGGCATACCGGAGACATCCTCCGCGACTGTGATGCACTCTGGGTAAAGTTCGTGCAGCATCTGGTTGGCGAGGGTGAGGTATGTGACGCCCTCCTCGTCGACGGATGGCCCGAAGTACTCGTGGTATCCACCAGAGAAGCCACTGTTTCAGTTAGCAGGTTTCTCAAACATAGAAGAATGCACGTACGTTCCGATACCATGGTGCGTGTATAGCATGCTGGTCACACCATCGAAGCGGTATCCATCGAATCCATACTCTTCCATCCAGAAACGCAGATTACTCAAAAGGAAACGCAGCACCTCGTGGCTTCCATAATTGAACAGACGGCTGTCCCACAGCTCATGACGGCCCTTGGCACCGCCATGGAAGTATTGGTGATCCGTTCCATCGAACTCATTGATTCCATCAATGACGTTCTTAGAGGCATGGCTGTGAACCACATCAAGCAGCACAGTCAGTCCCATGCTGTGGGCGGTATCAACAAGCTCCTTCAGATCCTCTGGGGATCCGTAGCGGCTGCTCGCCGCAAAGAAGTTGTTCACCTGGTACCCGAAGCTAGCATAGTACGCATGCTCCATGATGGCCATTAGCTGAATTGCATTATATCCCAGGTACTTAATGCGGGGGAGCATGTTCTTCGTAAACTCCTTGTATGTAGCGACCCTAGTCTCCGGCGACGAGATGCCGACGTGCGCCTCGTAGATGCGCAGACTCTCAGGCTTCTTGGGCCGCGCGTGCTGGAACTTGTAAGCCTCTTCTGCGGGAGGGTTCCAGAAAACGGCATCGTATGCAGGCGACACGCTCAGATCTTGGACCACACGCTTGATCCAAGCGGGGAGTCGGTAGATGCGCTCGCCGGTGGGGAGCACCATTGTGATCTGTCGGGGTTCTTAATGGGGGTGCTCTATGATGCGTAGGGTTAATGTACCTACCTTGATCTTGCTGTCGTGGGGAATAGCGGCAGCACCGTTCTTCGCTGGTACCGTTACATTCCAGATGCCGAAGCTGTTCCTCGTCATGGGGTTGGCATTGACGTCCCAGTTGTCTGCTAGTCTCAGTTCAAGCTCCTCAAATATAACCAGTACACAACGTACTAAACTCTCCGACCAAAGAAGCCTCCTTTGCGTTGGGTGCCCATTCTTGGTATTTGATGTCTCCGTTAGGTTGTGCATGGAGTCCGAAGGTTTCGTAGCCCTGATAAGCGTATTAGTACACAAGAAAGCAATCAATGGAGATCAATTCACCTTGCTGAACTTGTCCAAGCCACCCTCTGTCTCATTGATGGTCTTGGCCCATGTCTCAACCACCTGGTATCTGTGCTTCAAGACATCGCGATGGGGCTCCAGCCAAGGATCCAGCTGGATAACTCCTATTTTTTTTGTTAGAATTGGAATGTTATTTGTGTCTACTAGTAATTCCAAGCTTACCTGTACCATCATTGGGAATATTTGAGCTGTTAGTAGAAGACATATCTGGTGGGGAGAGAGCTTGGAGGTGGAGAGTGATGGGAAGGTCCAGATCAAGGAAACCCCAGCGGGGAACATGTGACATCAACCCCTCAACGCTTTGTCCTTCTGAAAAATTTGGTTTTTATCTTTTTGATATTCGTTTCAGTCTCTTTCCTCATTAAATGCATACCAATGCATTGCTATTGCATTGCTATTGCTATGCATTGCAGACTCTGGACTTCAAGCTCCAGTGGGGGAAATGTGGAGAGACGGGAACGGATCCGCCAGGGACAGAGCTGTTTTCAGGCACATTATTAGCATTCTACATGTATGTTTATAATATGAATTTTTATCTCCTTTAACATATTGTAGAATTAAGATCTCCAAGACTCTTCCAATGTTAGCTTCTGAGTTTGCTAACGAAAAATCAAATTAATGACGTAGTGGCAAATTTCAGCTATCTACATAAGGTCTGTACTCGGACTGCATTTGATCGTATTTTCTCACCGGACTATATTTATATCGAAAGTCACACAATTATCGTGCAGGTATCCGCTAAGATACAGCTTGTATAATAGTTCTGGCTTAGAAAGGTGCTCGGTCCATGTTGGGCCTGGCTAGAACTGCACATTTTGCAAGAGAATTGAGACATGTGCAAGTTGATCCTGATTTAGTCCAGACCGCTGGTTTATATATTATTTTTCGAAGGTAAAAGCTACCAGTATATTGTGTCTTTAAGCCTATTCCATGGCTATTTAGGCTATTCGAGTTAAGTACGCCAAGAGTCAGAATGAGAATTCTCAACGGAGTTTTCCTTTTACGACCTCATATAAAGAGATTACTATTCAAACCCATGCAGTCCTGTCCCTGTAATCTATGTCCATATGCCTATGCTTCCAGAAAATGAAGGCTTATTGGAGCTGGGTAGCGACTTGGGCAAGCTAGTGCAACTATTTTGAAAACGCCTATTGTAGACTTTCTACCGGGGTATACACGAAATCGCTCGTGTTCTAGCTCAAGGACTCAAGCATCTACAGAGAACCTCTATCACTCAAGTTCCGAGTCTTAGTGTATGAGCATTCAAAACACAAAACATCTACATGATACAGAATGGGTCTACGACGGAAGAAAAGTCAAATGGATACGCCTACTTTATTCAATCTCGAAGCAAGTAAATAAATAAAAGAATCTCAAGGGCGAGAAGGGTTCTGCAGTTGAGCATCGGGGCTCATATCCAGAGGCAGCGCCTTATTAGAGAGCAAGATAGTACTGGGACGAATATCATCCAAATCCGAAGCGACGATAAAGTCAACGCTCGTCTTCGGTTCCGACGACGCCTCATCGGCTTCAAGGTCAGCAATGGCCTTCACTAAAGGAGCCATGATACACTCGCGACACAGGCGCTCAAACTCAGCAAAGAAGTGGCCTTTGGGCCTAATGCGAACAGTGCGACAGCGTGGACATGACCGTGCCATCTCCTCACCCAGGATAAAGATGGCCTCCATCAATCTCACCAGCTTGCGGAGGACTGGAAGGACCTCGCAGCGGATACCATCTCCAAGACCCAGGAACCGGAACTCCTCGTATAGAGAGGACTTGAAGCAGGCGCATGCGGTGAGGAATCGCTGCTCGTAGTCCATCTCGTCGACCTCTTCTGTGCCTGGGTATCTATTCGAAGCCATGTTGACTGTCGTGTGAGAAACAGCCTGGGGCGTGATTAGTAGGGTGACTGGTTGTAGGTCTGTTTACCTCGAGTCTTTGGTGTTTTTAGATGACGGAAGGATATCTTGAAGGGACGGGGAAATCCATCTATTTATGCTTTTTCAGTTGATATTGACTGGGCTCATTAGACAAAGAGTTTGTTCAATGAGCGAACAAAGGAACAAAAGCAATCATTCCTTATACAGACATCCTTTATCGAGTCTTTGGACAAGGAGACAAAGGCGCGCGCTTAATCTTCGCCAACAGACGTGATACCGTGAAAGTTGACAATGAGACACAAGAAACTAGACTAACAAGCAGTAGATAGGCTAATGTAGAAGATCTTTCATGTTGAGGTGCAATATGAAGGTAGTCTGCATTCCCTCGCTACACACATGGATCTTATCTCAAATCGGATTGCCATTCCCACTCTCTTCCCTATGTCGCGATAATCCCCCTAAATTGAAACTAATTGACTCTCTTTACCTTTTTGTTTATTTTAAAAATATACACTGACATCTCACATCTATGACATAATCACTAAACCTCAAGAGGGGGCCAAAATTCGCTGCACGGGCCTCTCTTGGATGTCACCCTCTGGACCTCAGGGCTAGTCCGATTGCTTATCCCCAAACCCACAATGTCTCTACAAGCAGTGGCGGGTAACCAGCCATGCCACCAAGCCACCGAGATCCGACTGCTAGCCGACTCCCTGTATGAGTCGACGCGCGGGTCAACGGCTCTAACAAACCAGGCCCAAAATGAGCTTGGGCTGCTTGTGGGCGTGCTAAGCGCGACCGAGACGTATACTTCCTCTCTAGGCACAGAATGCGTCCATTACACAGTCTTGAAAAAAAGATTGCAGACCTGCCATGTTGTCCTACGGGAATTGCAGAAGCTGGTGCTACATCCAGATACGCTCGGGGCTCAGAGTCTGATTTCCGACATTCGCATGCGCCTCTTGTCGGTTATTTCTGGTTTTGGTGAGGTGAATTTGAATATGATGATGTGTGTTCGCGATGTTGTTTTATGTGTCGATCTGAGTTTTAACATTGATACAGATCATCACAGAAGAATATTGAGAGTGCGCTGAAGTGTTTTGTCGATGAAATTCGCGCTGGCAAGAGGGAAGACTTGGTTGTTTCTGATATTTTGAAGCATTCTTCAAAGCTTGAGGAAATTAAAGCCTGGAGTCGGCTGCAGGGAGAGTTGGTCGCTACTGGTATTGCTTCGGGTTTGTTGACTCTAAACCGTGACTTTGTTATCTCCACCCTTCAAAAGATAATAGAGACAGATGGCCCACTACCTGTTAGCAATGGGAACATGGCTCCAGTGGAGGATTTCCATGAGTCTACAGCACCAGCACCGACACTGGGATTAGAACGCCAGAGAAGCCTGGATGACGATGACTGGCTATCAGACGAACTAACTGGTCTTCCATTCCTCCCGCTCCCACCGAAAGGCTTCTCATTTTCAGATAAGCGCAGATCATGTCCAAGCCGAGCGCAGCCCTATCCAGAAAAACACACAAAACGGGAAGATTTTCCAATACCAGTGATGCTGGACATGCAAGACTGCACAGATACACAGAAACAAGCGCTGCCAGTCGACGACTTTGCAATACCAGTGAAGCTGGACATGAAAGATACAGATACACAGAAACAAGCGCTACCAATCGACGACTTTCCAATACCAGTGATGCTGGACATGCACGATTCCACAGATACACAGAAACAAGCGCTACCAATCGAAAACTTCCCCATCCCAGCTTCCACAGAGACTACTCTACAATACAACGACATGAACCTCCCAGAACCGGTAACGGTACCCATCGAGCAAAGGCCCTTCAATCCATCAATAGACCTCCACCCCTTCAAAGTTCCAACCCGCTCAAAAAAGTCCCACCGAATGAGCCGCATGCTATGGGAAATATGGGACACGACCAGCTCCAAAGAAAACTTTATAGCCGCGGTCAAAGCCAACCAACTCCAAGTAGTCCAAAACCTCCTTTCCAAAGGCGCCGACGCCAACTCCCAAAACACCGAAGGCCAAACAGCCCTGATGGCGGCCGTCTCGTTCGGCCACGAACCCATAACCCGCCTCCTACTCGAATACGGCGCAAATATAAACACACGCGCCATGAAAGGCGAGACTGCGCTCGCCATCGCCGCAGCACGCGGCTACGACCGCCTCGTACGAATTCTGGTCGCGTCAGGCGCGAGCCTGGATGCGGGTAAGGGGACTGGCAAGACGGCGCTCTCGCAGGCTTCTACGTATGGACAGGACCGGATTGTGGAGTTGTTACTGGATTGCGGGGCGGATATTGATGCTGTTAATAATACGGGGGAGACGGCTTTAGCGTTGGCGGCGTTGAATGGGAATATGAGGGTTGCGAGGCTGTTGCTTGATCGGCGGGCGAATGTTGATTTTATGCGGTATCCTTGGCAGACGCCTTTGTATAAGGCTGTTCAGTCGGATGAAGTTGAGATGGTTACGCTTTTAGTACAGTATGGAGCGGATCCGTTTCTTAAGGGGGGTATTGGTCGGAAGGAGACGGTTTTTACTTTTGCGAAGAATATGGGGAAGGGACGGATTTTGGAGATTTTTGAGCAGTATGGGTATCATCCTGCGGGCCAGGTTCGGTATCAGTATTTCTGATTGGGATCTATGGAGTATGCATGCATATGATATCTAGCATCTAGCGTGAAATGGCTTTCGTTCTTATTCGATTTGATTTTTGATCTTTAGTAGGCCTGTTAAATGAGTTGAGAGTTGGGACAGTGTATATATTGTTCTAAATGTAGCTGTAATCTTGAAGAAAGAGAGGATATACCATAGCCATCCAGAGGCTAACAAATATAGCCTTATTAGATCGGTGCTATCTCACTCTATATTGCCCGCCATGATCATTCTCGTAAAGTTCTTCATAGTTGCACCTACTGTCTCTTTGCTTTGGCTAGTCCCTTCTTTTTATCACAATGGCCTTTGTCTCTAAATTGTTGCCGGGACTAAAAAGACAAGATATAAACAAAGGATTTTTGATAATTCGATTGTTCTTATCTTCCAAGCGGTGCTTCATCGAATATTCGACCTCGACTACTCGAACCGCATAAATAGCCTCGATCCCCACCTCGATATTTTCTTCTCACCAAGCAACAGTATCTCTCACAATCCTCACAGATTCCACAGATCCAACAGTCTTCACAGACCTCGCAGAGCTAACAGATCTAACAGATCCGTACTAACTTTCTATTACTCCCATCACCCATTCGCTATGGCTATCTGTGCCCCCGGTAGTCTTTACAGCGTAGATAGGCACTACTTCATCCAGCTTCTACTACGCCAGATCGTGGAGCTCCAGGCTCACCCTGATCTTCGCCCTCGGGTGCTTGAGGGGCTTAAGGAGCTTTCTCGTCTGCTACCTGGCCTTATTGAGGCTGCACATGTTGTCGGTGACACTGTGTTCTGTGAGGTCGGCTGTGATCTTCGACTTCTCTTCCAGAGCTCGATCGCCGCTCTCTCTATGGACAACGGGGATCCCTTTAGTGCACAGGTCGTTGCCGAGCAGCTTTTGCGTGCATTTCCCTGGCATCTTCCAGCTCCCCATCTTACTGCTCCACCTTCGTGGGAGTGATGCTTTATAAGGCAGTTCCCACGTTTGACGCGATCGAAAGACGTTTGGTAACGTTTACTATTTACTATTTCCTATATTAACCAATTAGTTTAAGAAATGGCATTTATTACCTTGTGTCATCCTTTTGTAAATTCTTTCTTACCCTAATTAGGCATAGGTAATACCTGTAGTTAACTCCTAAGCACCTATATTAGAATAGTATGTTGTAGTTGGGGGCCAAATATCCCGAAGCCCTGCACGGAGGATTCTAAGCCTACTCAGCCCTCCAAGGCTCACAGAGGGGCGCCCAGACGGGGAATTGATCGGCGTCACCAATCCGGCTGCCTTGTGATTGGGTTGGCGTTTAGGATCATCGGGTGTAATAATCTTAAACTAGGGGGCTGAATGAGTTGGATTTTGATTTTGATTGTTTGACCATGATTTAGTATGTTGTAGAATAAACTGTGATATAGCAATATTGATAGACTTATATTGCAATATACAGATATAAATTGTCGAACATGTACAAAGTACATAGTATCCCTTCATGTGTACCTGGTACAAATAAAGACTGGTCGCAAAATAAGCCGCATTCCTGTCAAAGTCCTTTTACAATACTCCATACAGTATATACCCTTTGTATACTCCGTAATCTTCTACAAGTAAAGCTGTGGCTTAGACTTGGTCATCTTCCAAACCCGTTCAAGGCAGTGCATGGAATCCCCAGGTATCCACTATACGAGATAAATTTTATATATTAGCCCTTGACGATCCTATGAAACTATTTTTATAATTTATGTGTTCTCTGTAGGCTGTCATATTTCACTTAAAACCCTTCCCGTCCCATTTACGGAGTACAGTGAAACATCTCACATCCCTCCCAATACCCCAGACTCCAAAGTCAACAGTAACAATGACAGGACACCCCGGACACCCCTCGCCAACGCCAAGTACGCTCCCCCTCATCCCCATACAGTACTCAGCTAACAACTTCCAGCACCAGTTCCCATATACAGCGAAGCCCCAGAAGCCGTCTATCCAACCCATCCAACCCAAGGCCCCGTGAGCCCACATTCCGACCATTCTCACACCGGACAATCCCTCCCAGACGCCCTGCACTCCAGCTACACCCCAACACCCATAAACGGCCCTTCAGAAAAAGAATACCCCTTCCAACCCGACTCCATCGGCCAAGCACCAGCCTACGACGCGACATCAATGGCTGCTCCACCCGAGAAGGCGTACGCAGGTCAGCCCCTGACCGAGTACCCAGAAGCACAAACACAACCTCAGCAGTTCTACACGCCTTCCGGCCATCCCAGTGGATATGTCACGGCCGTACCGCTACACGCCGTCCAGTCTGCGCCGTGTCCGGTTGACTGTCCTGTTTGTGGAAAGCGGGAGATGACCCGTGTTGAGCCTGTGAGCGGTGGGACCACACAGTAAGTTGGATTCCATCGATCGCGTATATTGGAATGGTGGTTGACTTTTCTTAAACAGTGGCTGGGCTGCTATTCTTTGCTTTTGTTGCTGTCTCGGCTGTATCCCGTACTTGATGTCATCGCTTAAGGATGTTGAGCATTCTTGTGGGAAGTGTGGTGCTAAACTTGCGAAATGGCATAATAGTGGCCGTGTAGATGTCTTGCAGAATGGGGCGAGGAAGTAAGAGTCTGCTTACTTTGCTTTTTGTCTTTTCAGAATGATACCACTTTGTGTTTGACGTCATTGGTTAGGCGTTGCGCAGTTTTTGACTTGCTTTTATTTTCAATGTGATGGTCTCAGATTGGACCTTATGACATGCAGAATATGAAAAATATATCAACTGGCAGATGTGTATGATCAGATGGTAGAGGTAGATGACGCGCCAAGCCAATCTCGTATACGACCTCGTATCCGATGATGATGATGCGATCACTTTAACATTCTTCTCGACAAATTCCCAAACATCACAATTGACATCTCATAGCTCCAAAAAAAAAAACACAAAATGATTCGCCTCATCTTCACGACAACAGCAATAATAACCAGCTCCTCAGCAATCTACTTCTACATCTTCCACTCAGGCCTATCAAAACGCGTAACGCACCAGTCCTACACCGGAACCCTCTCCGCAGCCCCCAAACCAGCAAGTATAAAATCAATCCCAGAACCCGTCTTCGGCGATGGGTACTTTACGGTTTACGACCACGCCTCAAAGTCTGTACCGCGGGCCTCCCTCCCCAGCAGCGAGACTACAGACATGCTCTTCACAAGACTCGTGCGCCGCAACATGAGGGCATTCTCTCGGTCCCCGCAGGCGCTTATGCTTGCTATGGCCAGTAAGACGTCGGAGCAGAAGGAGAGTTTTGGCACGGGACATCTTTCCGAGCTGGATTTTGAGGTTGGAGATTTGGTTTGTGGGGCTTATCGCGTTGTGGTGCGGAGCAAGGATCGGGTTGAGTTTGAGATTAAGGTCGAGGCTGTGGATTTTGTGCAGGGGAGGTTGTCGATTAGTTTTGAAGAGGACGGTAGTCATGGTGAAGAGAGGATGGTTGTGTTTTCTAGTGAGACTGTTATGTGGAAGAGAAAGGATGAGGTTAGGAAAATGCCGTTGGAGAGGCCTCCTGTGAGGTGGATGCATGAGACTGTTACTTGGTGGTTGTTGGACTCTGGGGTTAGGTATTTGGTGTACTTGGAGTGTTGAGTGGTTTGGTTTGGTCTGGTTTTACCTGGAGCTAGCTAGGTCTGGATGGGTTGATAGTTATAGCGCTCTTCTGTTGAGTATAATGGTAATATGGCAATCCCATTTCCTGCCTGCGAAATGAGTTATGATTATGATTAAAATTGGACCTTTGAATCTAGATTATTGACTATAGTTGATATACTCTGAAATCAAGGAACTAAAATAAGCATGGTATAACAGGCATGTCTGCTTCCGTGACCTTGTGTCGAAGGGCTGAACCGGGAGCATTGGTCGGCAACGGTAAGCCCACAGGCACTCCGTCGGAGGGAAGGAGGATGCAGTTAGGGAATGGCACTCATGAGTCAGTTGGGCACGGGTCGTGAAATTTGACTCAATTTTATTGTCCATTGAGACCTTCGGTGTGAATTCAATACTCATTGGTGGAATTCTTGGAGCATGCCTCCGTAGTCACAAGCTAGAAACGGAAGACATAGTAAATAACTTTTCGGAATTGGCATATATTCGATAAAGACTTACCCATGTACTTGCAGGTCCAAGCTTCTTAATTCCATGAGCACTTAAATACATGTCCTTCTTTGAGGTGTCTCCACACCATAAGGTATGATAACATGTTTCATTTGCTTGAAAGTTTTCCCTCCAAGAGTAAACGGATGAGAGTGTATATGTGCCTCAATATAAGGGTTCAGGGGCCAGGGGCCAGGTGCCATGATCTGGATATCCACCCTCAAAGTTGAAAATTTGAAAGCCCAGACTCATAATATGTCACCGGGGCTGGGATAGACAGTTGGTTATCACTGATCTACTGAGACATGATTGTGACGAACGTTGACGTGCGAGCCAAGGCATCCTTCATGGCTGTTTGGTTGTATAGAACGTACAAATCAAAGCGACTGCGGCTACAAGCCGTCGCTAGAATTCGCGCATGAACCCGAGCTCATTTGTGCGGACTAGGTCGACTATCACGATGCTGGCCTCCATGCCTGGGGATGAGTCGATCTTGTGAATACCGATATTCAACCAGTCCTCGCTTCCTCCGCGGCTTTCTTGACGGTGATGTTCACATTGTCGTTGATGTCGTTGTTGATGTCTTTCTGTCACCCAACAAAGCAGATCATGCTAGGGGTGCCTTCATCGCAGAGAGCTATACGCCGATCGAAAGAACCGGGAGAGGAATGAATCAATAGCAGCATTGGTTCCAGGAGCATCCATCTGGTTTATTTGACGTTTACCTTCGACATGGTTGCCGCCGCTGGGTTCGGCAGCTTGAGGTGAGTTGCGTACACACTAGTATACAGGTCCCCGTTGTCGTAAATAGTTAATCAGACCATTACTGGCCTTTTTCAACTCAGATTGATGCAGCTTTTACTTCAAGCCACTTGCACATCAATATATACTCAGAGACCAGTCAAGTGGTTAGAGATGGGATAGAATTGTGGAGTGGCTGGAAGTGAGTCCTGTGTGTGGTTGGATGGGAGGTTCGAGAGGTTATGGGTAGAAGACAAGAAAGGGATAGAAAGAAATAAATAAGAGGAAACGGTTCTAGATTTTTGTACTGGATTTTGAGCAAATATATAGAGAAGGCAAATGGTAAAGAAAACTGTCACAGCTTGGCTGTGGGAGAGAGAAAGAAATTTTGATTGTTCAATCTACGAAAAGTAGGATATTTATACCCTGAGATCTAGTAAACAAACGCCCAATTTGCTAGAAATGGGGAATGTTCTAACAAAAACCGTTTGATTGAGCTATGTAGAAGATAAGTGAATGAAGATAATTCTATCCTATCCTGTGGCAGGAAGACTCAACATAGATACTTCAAAGTAAATTATACTGGGAGATTGAGAAAACGCAAAGGACTGCAACCTCTAGATCCATTTCGATTTCTTATTGTATCAGGTCAAAGGAAACTTAGAAATATTTTCGATATTGGGTATTTATTTCTCTCTACATTTTCTGGTTCCCTTGAATTTCATCTTAGATCGCGCTACGACCCATGAGAAGTCTAGCATGTTGAAACAGCACGTCCAACAGGCAGAAAAAGATCCCTGGGAATTTAATTTACATATAGGCAATTGTGAACAGAAGTCGTCAACAAAGAGTTTCATACTGAGACCAAGACAATGCCTTTAACCTCATCTTTGTTATACCACTTACCTTTGTTCATCGACTCGGCTTTGTACTCGCCCGTCAGACATTCACAGACCAAGTTATATATAACCTCTGATCCTCGCGCAGATGTACTCTGGCAGCAGAGCATTCCTCTCATCTCATCTCATCTCATATTCCTCTACTTTCAACCCATCTTTCCATTCCTTCAAAATGTGTAACTACTCCTACCACCACTACCCCAGCTGCGGACACATCTCCAACTGGAGCATGACCGGCTGCCAAGAATACACCAACAGCCTCCGCCTGGCCGGACCAGAGCGCAGCGTATCCTGCACCATGATCGATCTCTCCCACGACCTCCTCCCTTCCACCCACCCAAACATGTGCGTGGAGTGCGAGAGCGAGCGGACCAAAAACCTCTCTTCTCTCAGAGACAGCCAGACCCAAGCCTCAAGCTCTTACCGGACCATTGAGGGCCTGGACGCTACAGGCAATATCATCCAAGTTAACGCGGTGAGTGATTCCACTCCAGACGACAGGGACACAAGCAGTACTGACCACAGCGATAATGATCAGGTCTTCTTGGGTGCTGCCGTTGATGATTCGGGCAATGGGGACGCGGACAGGGCTGGCCACAGCGACAATGGTCAGATCTGTTGGCGTGCTATTGTCGACGAATCGGAGTCGAAGTGCGGCCTGGCGCATTCCGATAAGTCCTCTGCGACAGTGTTTAAGTTTGCTCGTACTAATCCTAGTTCGCCGGAGAATGCTGGAGATCTTGAATCTTTTGTGTCTGCAATCGTCAAGACCCGCCCGGATCATCTCGCACGCAGCGGCGATGAGAGCGACAATGCAAAGGCCATTGAGATTGAATCACCCACTGAGGACAATGCTTGTGCATCCCCCAGCGATAACAGCAGCTGCGAGACAGACAGTTCTGGCTCGTCGCTCTGCGGATCTTCTTTGATAAGGTATAATATACTTAAGCTAAGAATTGACGAATACGTTGAGAAGCGGGAGCAGCAGCGACGGGAGGTAAACACTGACTATCAGAAGCACGCTGACATATATGCCCCTCATATTGATCTCAAGGACACGCCTCCTGCAGACTCAATTAATAGCCCCGAAGCTGACCATCACTCGTTTGACCAGCCCACTCTTGACATTGACCTTGTGCAGCAGCGTATTGAAGCGACCATCTTGAAGCGCATTGAAGAAAGCAACGAAAAAGAAGCCCGACAGGAAATCATCTCCAAGCTCCTAGACGCAGCACTTTTAAAGAAGGACCGAGACGACCGGCACGAGAAGAACGCCGAGCTGGGCATCGAAGAGGACCCCCATCTCTGGGACACAGAGTCCCTCGACCAAATGTGGCATGCAAAGAAATCCACTGTACCCAATAACGACAGCACCCCTGTCTCCCCCCACACCTGCCCATCTCCCAAGACCCAACAGGCCCCAGCCCCAGACCCCCAACTCCAGAAGCACATGTACATGGGCAGCATGTTTGCCTCTGAAGAATCCGCCTACCAACGCGGACTACGCGAGGTCCGGCCATACAGCAATTACGCAGGTGAGTGGGAAGGATTCATGATGGCATTTTCCGAAGACGACGCGAACCGGCAGGGCCTACTAGACCCGGTCCACGTGCGGGGATGCTGTTCCTCGCGACGCGCCGACTTCCACCTCTACTACGGCGTGATGCATGCTGCGTCCGAGGCAGAAGCCGAGAAACGCTGGTTGGAGGATATCCGACGGATACCCGGTGAAGACGGGAAATTCTACGGGTTGTTGCGGGCTGACGATTTGCGGCACGCGCGCGCGATGGGACTTAGTGATATCCGTCATCCGTGGGGGTGTTGTAAGGATGCGCTTTTTACGATGCCGGAGCGGGTGCTCCATAAATACACGGGGTTTATGTGTGCGATCTCCCTGGAGGAGGTTGGACATATGGGGTTGTGTGATGCGGAGCCGGTTCCTGGGGAATGTGGTGATTATTATGGTGGGACTTATTATGGGTATGTTGAAGCTTATAATGAGTTGGATGCTTTTCAGATGGGATTGAAGGAACCTGAACATGGGAAGTGTTGTGCCAAGGCCGAGGTTGATGTGTCGATCTCGGAGGGGGATACGTATTACGGTTATATGTATGGGAGGTCTGAGGAACAGGTTGCTAATAGGGGCCTGAAGGATGTTCTACTTGTTCCTGGATTTGATATTAAGTATTCGGGGTATTTACAGGCGGACTCTGAGGAAGAGGCTAAGGCTATGGGCCTTTTTTGAGCCTTCATGTATTAATTGATGTGCGATTTCCTTTTTATTATTCCTTTTGTATGTGGCAGAGAATAGACTGGTTTTTCTTTTCTTTATTCAAATGCCTCAAATTTGATCCCTATTAAAACAATAGTCTCGGGGTTTACATGCTAAGCTAAATTTGTATGTTGGTCAGCCTATTTTTTTTGTCTCTGGCTCTTTTTGAGCGCTAAATAGAAGTTCATCACACTATCATCCTACCAGGTATCTAATCCTGACGGGGTTTAACCAATAGTAGATGTCTCTTAATTTGACATAGGTACCTTGCATCTGAAACCCCCCTGGAATTTTACGCGATAGGAGTTAAGAAAGGAAAGAATTCCACTCCGTACTATTCTTCTACATCGACATGTGCAAGTCAAGATCATAATGCTAGGTAAAAAGTAACTGCCTTTTAGGGCTACGATCTGCCGGAACACAGTTTTTGGAAAATCAATAGTGTCACGGGCGGATTCAATAGAAAAAGGGAGACTTCGTGCTGCCAAGAGATCTTTGATCTAAATTCATCTTATCTAGCCAATCACAGTCTTATATGAATTGACAAATAGGACAGTGGATCTTCTCCATCGCGAACGGGACCACGATGGAGTAAACGGAATCCAAGCGAGACCACAACAGAACAGTTATACACCTGGATCGACTGGAATTCCCCACAACGTAATGTCTTCCAGCAGAACTATGGAGTTGAAAAATGGATATCTCAGTCATGTTGATCGACATCGTGGGAAACTTTGGTGGGGGGCCCACTTGCTCGTGCAAGTGCTTACCCCCGATGTACATAAGGACATGACGACCCCCGGTACTTGGGGTGTCAAGGCGCTATCCAACTTCACACACATTCATTAAGCACTCAATATGGGGTCCGAGTATGGTATCACGGTCGAGTCCAAACCCCAGATTGATCTCGGTCCCGTCACCATCTGGTGGGTGGTCTGGGCATGTGTCTGGACTTCGGCCGTTGTGGCTGGTATGATCTATCTGATTATACACCGAGATATGCCGACACTTCGCATTCGAGGCCTCGCACTATCATTAACATCAATTGTCATCCTTCATTTATACTGGATCCCGACCCAGTTCGCTACTATGGTCGGCGCCCTCATGCCGGGTGATGGCGCCTATTGGCTTATGGGGACCTTGCTGCCCTGTGGCATGGCGCTCTTCCATGGCTCCAACACTCGTTTTCAACATGTCGCAAAGCTCCAGAGAAAGTATGCTCTGGACGGTTACCGTTTTACTGAATCGCCTGTCGGGGAACGCAAGGATGGGTTGATCAATCGTTTCCGTGGTCTTAGATATACCACTAAGATTCTTATTTATGTCGCTATCGCTATGTTTGCTCAGGTATGGCTATCTACTGATCTACCTTTTCATGTCTGTGACACGTCTTATCTAACTCGTCATCTCATGCAGGTCTTCCTCACGATCCTCATGTGGGTCATCTCCCGAAAGTACCATAGCTCATGGGGTATTCCCGGCACCGAAGTCCATGGTACCCCTGCAGAGGTGCTTGTAGCACAAGGCGCAGGATGGGAATGGTGGCCTGGTGTGGTCTCGCAGTTCTTCTGGTCTTGGATCGTTGCCCCCGTCGTCCTCTGGAAGTCCCGCAACATCCACGATACCCATGGCTGGCGAGTCCAGACCATTGGCTGCGCTGTTTCTAACCTTCACGCTACCCCGATGTGGCTCATTGGCCTCTATGTTCCGGCCATGGCCCCGGTCAACGCGGTCTGGGTTCCTCCCCAATGGTAAGTTCCAAACAAACATCCCCACAAAGATCTTCTCTAACACAACTATATAGGATCTGCCTATCCATCATGTTCATCGAAATTTTCACAGTCTTCCTCCCCTGCTGGGAAGTAATGCGCCACCAATCCCTCCGACAAGAAACCCTCGAGTCGATCGCGCGCTGGGAACAGAAAGTCAAATCCACCGGCTCGGAAGAAAAGTCCCTAAACTCCGACATGACAGTGGTAGCATCTATGATGTCAGGCTGGAAATCGAACAGCTCGACGAGCACATTCAACTCCCGCGACAGCATCCTCACAATGGGCGCCCTCGAGCACGTTCTCGAGCGCAACCCAGCCCCGCTCCAAGAATTCTCCGCCTTGCGCGAATTCTCTGGCGAGAACATCGTCTTCCTAACCAGCGTCGCCGAATGGCGCAGTCAACTCCCCTCATCCATCAAAGACGGTAGCGCCCTCCAAGAAAAGAGCAAGCGCGACGTTGTCCGCGAACACTTCAATTGCGCGCTACACATCTACGCTGAATTTATCAGCGTTCGGCACGCCGAGTTCCCCGTCAACATCTCGCACCAGGAGCTGCGGAAGCTAGAAGAAGTTTTCGAGAAACCGACGCGTCTTGTGTACGGCGAGGAGCGCGAATGTGACCCCGCTAGTCCGTTTGATAAATTCACTTTTGATCTGCCGTTGCCGTCGCCGGCTTCTACGGACTCTGGGAAGACTATGCAGGCTGAGATGACGGGGTCGATTAAGGACCGCGTGCAGTACTGGGGTGATATTCCTGTGGACTTTGAGGCTTCGATCTTTGATGCTGCTGAGGCTAGTATTAAGTACCTTGTGCTTACGAATACTTGGCCTAAGTTTATTAAGGATAGGAGGACTTCGCTTGGTTCGATTGAGAATCTCAAGGGAGTTGAGGTCTAAATTTACTGTGTGTGGCATGCGAAATGAGTTCAAGTCGTTTTAAGATATGGGTCGGGACTTTTGGTATACTTGATGTTTTGTTTTTTTCTTCTTTGGCTTTTGGACACTCCTACATTTGGGGGTCTCCTGGGCTGTACATATTGGTCTTATGGTTGGATATAATATTCTGGATACCCACACACAATCTATTTCTTATTCTTATTGATCTTATCAACACACTTTTTTATCAACCTGTGGGGAGACTAGAGACGAAGCTGTAAATAGTAATATTCCTGCATAGTAAACTTAGCAAGTCAGAGCAGTATGTGGTCAAGTCTATAGCTGCTGCGCTTTCAGCGCAGTTAATTGAAGCATCAAGATAGAATTGGACTGTACATAATTTGATATCTGACTATAAACATTCATAACTCATCTCCACAATTATACTACTGCTCAAAAGCCTTGACCACACTAGCACTCCCCTCAGCCCCTAAGCCAGACTTCTTAGCCATGTATAACACAGTCAAAGCAGCATTGCCAAGATTCAAAGGACAGTGAAGATCCCGCGCCTTCTGCACAGCCTTCTCTAGACGAGAAGTAGCAGCATCAACAGTCTCCCCACTGGCACCCTGTCCAAGCCCCTCAATAATCTCCAACCCCTTGGTCATAAATTGCCGACTAGCACCAGCAGCATCAGCAACAAGGGTATAAAACTGCTTCAAATCGACCTTGAGATAGCGTGCAAACGAAATAGCCTCAGCAGCCGCAACAAGGTTAGTCACCTCCATCATATCAACCACCAACTGCAACGCCTCCGCCGTCTCCTCATCAGACTTGGTACAAGCGACCTTCGTGATCGGGTCAGCAAAGTACTGTCGCACCATAGACGAGTCATCAACAGCTCCATATCCCTGCAACAAAGCAGACAAATAAACCTGCTCAGCAGTGGAGCAGAGCGGAGTCGGGAATTGACTTTGGCGCGCGGACGTCGTGATAATCCCCTGAAAACAATTAGCACAACTCAGCCCCCAAACTCAACAGAAATACTTACCACATCCTTAAGAATAATAGTCAATGCACTGGCACCAGGATGCCAATCCTCATCCAGCATCCGCTGCAACCGATTCTCATGCATCCAAGTCCAAGCACCACTGGACTTAATCGCCTCTGCTGTCTTCTTCGCATCTAACCCCAGTCGCGCAGCAAAGCCCTGAGCTTCACTGGCACCCAAAATGTGAATACCTGCCAGCACCTGGTGCACCATCTTCATATTACTACCGGCGCCAATCCCACCAGGGACAAGGTACAGCTTATTTGCGTCGGACATCTCCTGCAGCAGGAAGCGGCCTTTCTCCAGCGCGGCGTCGGGAGCACCAGCCATAATTGATAGGGTACCTGCAGCAGCACGAAGAGCACCGCCAGACACGGGTGCGTCAATGAAGGCTATATCGCTCCTGCCGATGGAGGCGAGCTCTGCGGCGACGGATTGGGCGTATGATGCTGGGACTGTGGAGCAGAGGAGGAGAGTTGCGTTTTGGGGAAGGGCTGAATGGATTACGCGATTAGTCCCAATTATATATTTCTGAGTTGGTAAGTTGGTTTGGATTGGAGCTTACCTGCAACAATACCATCATCGCCGAAAAGGACGCTCTGCACCTGCGGCGCTGAGGCGACCATGCAAACATAGAAATCATTTCCCTTAGCCGAGTCCTGAAGTGATGATGCTGGGATTCCACCGGCGGCCTTGAACCGATCTACTGAGGCTGGGAACACGTCGAAGCCGTGTACTGGGTAGCCCTCTTTCACGAGATTTGTGGCCATTCCGAAGCCCATGGCGCCTAAGCCGACGAAGCCGATTGAGGGTTTGGACATGATTGTGATGGATGTAATGGCCTGTTAAGAGGAAATGTATACAATTGGTCGAATGGACCTTGAGAAATGTATAAAATAAAATAAACTGGTTCGACCTGCGTGGGGGGTTTTTATGAGGGGGAGATATTGGGGGAGAACGCGGGATGCTTCGGCGCAAGTCCGAGCCGGTTAATTTGGTTGTTGCCGAAAGGTATGGCTTTGCCAGGGTCCGATTTTGAAATTTGAGGGCTTTTTGATTAGTTAGTAGATGTGAGCCTGGTCTTGTTGACGTGGTAGTAGGTCGGAAGTTGGCCAAGGCCAAAAACATTATACTTTTATACTACATGGTACCTAATAGTTGAATGAATGTGTAATCAAGGGGTCCTCGGATTTGATTCGATAAAGTCAATAGCTATGCTTAACGTTTAAAACAAAACCTAGGAAATCTTGCCATCTATACTCCGATGTTTTCCCCGGGTGTATAGACCCGAATAGCTCAAAGTGACGTAACCCGGAGCAACTCCGACACTCGGACCTGAAGCGAACCAGCTCGGTCAACACACTCTATATAACACTATAGACCCTGATCTAAAGTAAAGCAAAACTACAATCCCCTCATTTCCCAACTACCTCCTTAAAATCAAAATGACCCTCCAAGAAAACCGCGCCCTGCGCATCCTAGACCATGCCTCCGCAAACCACTACGCCATCCCCGCAATGTGCTGCTACAATGTGGAAGGCATCCTCGCAACCGTCCGCGCTGCCGAAGCCAAGCGCTCCGCAGCAATGATCCTCCTCTTCCCCTGGGCCATCCACTACGCCGACGGACTCCTCGTGCACGCCGCCGCCGAAGCCGCGCGCAAAGCCACGGTACCCGTAACCGTGCACATGGACCACGCACAAACCCCCGAGATAATCCGGTACGCGGCCGATCTGGGCGGGTTTGACAGCATCATGGTCGACATGTCTCACTACGAGAAGGCGGAGAACCTTTCTCTGACGCGCGAGCTGGTGGAGTACTGCCATGCGCGGGGGATCGCGACCGAGGCCGAGCCTGGTCGGATTGAGGGTGGTGAAGATGGAGTTGCTGATACGGCTGATCTTGAGGGATTGCTTACGACGCCTGAGGAGAGTCGGGAGTTTGTGGATACGGGGATTGATTGGCTCGCGCCTGCTTTTGGAAATGTTCATGGGGAGTATGGACCGCGGGGGATTCAGTTGGAGTATGAGCGGTTGCAGTCGATTAATGAGGCTGTTGGGCGGGAGGTGAGGCTTGTGCTTCATGGGGCGGATCCGTTTACTGAGGAGATTTTTAAGAAGTGCATTGATTGTGGGGTTAGCAAGGTTAATATTAATAAGGTGTTGAATAATGAGTATGTGAGGGTTCAGGCAGAGAAGGCTGGGAAGGTGCCTTTGACGACGCTGTTGGAGGAGACGACCAATGCTATGCAGAAGGCTGTTGAGGGATGCATTGATCGATTGGGATCTGGGGATAGATACCCGTCGAGTTAGGGGATGAGGAGTGTTTTATGTTTTATGTGTTGAGATTAATTCTGTGTGATAATGTCATCGATTCAAGAATGTATTATGAGTCAAAAAGCAGTTCTCAAATTCTGGACACTAAAGCTGTTGGATATATGTGATTGCCAAATAAAGAAGGGCAAAAAAAAGCCACCAATCCGTTGTAAGGGATAGAGAAGGAAAAGAAAAGAGCGGAAGTGACCAGCATAACCATTTCATACAGAGGGTAATAATCCACACCGCACAAAGATCACATCATGTAGACACTACTTCAACGATGGAGACCGAGGCCACCCATGGAACCGACAACGAGATCCCCTAGAATGGGAAGACCCTTGAGAAAGCCCCGAACGGGGTCAGACGTAGTAGCCGTAGCCGCGGTAGAGGAGGGAGTTGCATTGGAGGAATCAGAAGCAGAGTTACTCTTAGAGGGAGTGGGGATGGCGGTGGTTGAGGGAGTGGTTGAGGCAGTGGTTGGGGCAGAACTGGAAGCCTCAGGGGTCTGCAAGGCGACATGGGAGGCGTGAGAGAGAGTTGAGGCCTGGGAGACGACAGGATCGGGGAAGTTCGCGGCTGTGTTGGTGGGAGTGGGCGTGGCTTTCTGCAGGCTGGACCGAGACACTGAGGTGAAAGAGGCGTGCTGAGCGGACTTCTTCATTTCCTCTAGGGCTGAGGAGAAGGAGTGTCCGAGTCCCTCCTCGGTGTCCTCGATGCTGGAGCCGATTGAGGTGAAAGGGAATCCGGTAGCGGTGTCTTCGACGTCGCTGGTAGGCTTGGGAGCGGCGGGCGCCGCGATGGCGCCAATGGCGAAGAACGCCAGGGAGATGTATGAAATGTGCATTTTGTTGGGCAGCCTGCGTATTGGGGAATAAAGGAGAGTATATATGGTCAGAGAAACAAATGAGGGACTGGCTGGCGAGCGGGAGAGAGGGTTACAATGGCGTTTAAATATGCGATATAAGGCCCTGGATGCACTGCTGTGATTTCTGTTTCGCGTCTTCCATACCTCAAGCTCTTAGATAGTGATCAACATCGCTAGGGATGACGACCACATAGCAGCGCCTATGCCTATAGGGGGGCTTCGAAGGGTTCCAATCGCCGCGTATGCTCGGTTCCTGTGGAATGATCGCCCAGGGATCTGCCCAGGAAAGAGGAAAGCTTGTCAATGCTGGAGATCAAATCCGACGATCATAATATTATGTAGAGAAAGGATGCACCCTTATGGGTTGGATGATATCGGAGGTAATGGATGAGGCTGACATGGTGGCACACATAAAGCTTCTTCCGGGCCCCTCGTCAATCATTTGAAGAACACATAAATTTTTCAATGTAGAGCAATCTGGGCAATTGATTTTCCTAACCAGATTGTTGCTCAAGATCTATCTTGTTGGGCCGATGGTTTCTAGAAAGAACAGACTGCGTTGCATACTAGTATACTAGATAGTCGTTATAGGATAAAGTCTTCGGGGACCCTACGTCTACCCCGTAAGGTGGTCAGATACCTTCGAAACTTCAAAGGGCGATGAATGTGTAGGGGTTATTCTGGCACGCGGAGGTATCCCTTAGCAACCCAAATCACCCCTTGCAGTGCCAGCCTGTTCATATGTACATGCTTACTTTGCATTCAGACTGTTTGTGTTTTTCTTTTTCCTGCATTGTAGTCACATAGGTGCAGGATCGCGTCAGATCTGATATGTGTCTTGGATATGATAATGTATACCTTGTTGTGATGAATTGGGTTGCATGGAGCATGAACCTATCAACCCTAACTGGTTTGCTTAATATGGGCTGAGGCTGGCATATCTTGTGCCTACCATTCAATCCATGTATGTCTCAATCCTTCGCTTGGGGGGTCTGCGGGTTTACAATAGGTCACCTAACCAATTTTAGAAACGACTGCAGTAACAACTTTCCAATGATCCAATGTATTTCATATGCGAACCGGCCACACAAGCACCCCAAAGCACATCGCAAACTTATATCCCAACAACCACCTTGTCCGTGTCATTATCGTTCGTCTATGTATCAATTTCAAGAAAATTGAAAACATGCATTATCATAGTATTGGACATTATATTGCTTAAAGCCAAAAAATATATATATCGCAATCATAAAGTGATAAAATATTTTCCAAACTTCCTAGAGAAGATAAGACCTAAAAAGACTTAAGCTATTAGAAAAGCTCCATATAGACTACCGTTGAGCTATTAAGTTACAATTTATCGCATTTACTCTGTATGTTGGGGTGAAATACGTTATGACGGCCTAGGCGCTCATATTTAAGGGGTGGTTTAAGTCTTGGTGCAATTTCCGCACAAATTCTTAGATTAATCAAATATTTAGCGTTAAAGCTTCTCTGATCGTACAGATCTCCATATTTGACAAAGTTGATTCCCCTCCAACCGTCTAAGTTTCGGCATTGAAGCTATTCCAACCGTACTTACAAAGGTCTCTCCGCTAGCTCCGGCGTGGCGTGCCCTAAGTCTGAGCTTGCGATCCTTCGTGCCGTTGGACCTATCATTTCAACTGTTGTGGGAATAGGGCATTTAACGCCTGGGATTTTATGAGTCCGAGGATTGCCGTGGGAATAGCTTCAATTTCAAGAAATTGTGTCTTTTTAGTCAGAACTCCGTTTTAAATCCCCAAATGAGATTGTATATGAGATGCTACATAATCTAAAACGCCTCGGAAGATGCCGGGGGGCGCAAGGTTACTATTTTAAGAATCACGCACACACACTCTCTGACGATTACCGACGATCTATGTGACGATCCCCCCAAAGGACTATACCCTTCGGGCGTAGATTGCCTGCGCTATATATATTTGAAACCCTCTCTTTAGGGACTGTTTATTATATATCTCGCTCTGTAGTTTGAATTTTATTGTATAATTATACAAGATGTGTCGAGAGTCAAGGAACTGACGGATGATTGAGCGTTTTGCATTTGGATATATTGCACTAAGCAAGAATTACTGAAGTATCTGTATACAAATATACCAAATGTCTAGATCTGGTATCTGGTGAAAATCTGGTATCTGCCGGGGTGCACCAAAACCAGGTATGGTGTTTGGCGCTTGGGAAGTTCAGGTAAAACCGTTTACTTTTTACCCTTTCTGGTGATATGTACTGATTTACCATTCACCCGTTCTGGTTAGTGGCCTTAGATCCACCTGCCTTGGGAATATCAATATGAAGATAAAAATCATATATAAAGGACATCACTAGCACGACAATTCAATTGTTTATCATCTAACTCTTCTCTTCTATCAACATTCGTCTATTCGATCTTCGCTTCAAGATGCGTTTCGAACTTGTCATTTTGGCTCACCTTGCCAGCTCGGTGACTGGTCTTGCTGTCGTACAGGGCGGTAACAAGCTGATCAACGTTCGCGCTGATCCAGTTACAACTTTCGTCCCGATACCCTCTCCTACTGCATCGTCTCCGTCTCCCCCTGAAGATATTGAGGAATGCCCCGGCGCGCCTGGTTACTCCTACTCCCCGGTTGATTGGCGCATCAAACGCCTAGGCGGTACTCGTCCCTGGATCCAGAAGACCTGTCTGGATAAAGAGCCTAGCAAAGGTTATGGTACCGACATTGTAAGTTTGCTCAATGGGACTCCTGTCAATCCTATCTACGACTAATGCAGATAATAGCACGTTGAGCGCGGCTGTATTATGATTGAGGACTCAAAGCAATGCGCGCCTTCGTTCGGCAGGGTTGGATTGCGTCCCGAGGAGGAACCCTACCGTAAGTAGTATCATTATCCATTATTGGGGGGCTAAGCTAACAGATCTAGACGCCAATGCGACGAGTGATAGCATACTCAGCGTTGAGCTATATGCTATGTTCGACGGTAACGATCAGAATCCTGAAGTGACTCCTCCTTGCCGGCTCTCGGTACAATGGCCTGGCGACTGGCGTGATCTGGACTTCACCGCCGAGAACTGTATTACGGATCGCAGTGGAGAGTGGAAAGAGTGCTGCCCCAAACGTGGAAATAACAATGATCGAGTTGTTCGCAATCCATACGTGTGAGTTTTTCCGTGAGAAATAGGTCTGGGATTGAGGTCTATGTTGGAATTTATTCAATTCACAAGGGCTCAGACACAGTTCTATCATGTTTTGTGGATTTATGTTCTTCCCTTGATGTACTTATTGGAAGCATCTATACTTTCAACAAGCATAGAGATCAGTTTAGTTTCCAAAATGAAAAAGTGTAATATGTATATGCTTGCTACATAGCTCACCCCTAGGATGGGTCTTTAAGGATATATATTCATCTCAAATATTATCTCCTGGCTCACATTGGTGACGTATTAGGGAGGTTATTTCTCAGCCAGACATATAAAAGAGATATCCAAATGCTTACCAGTGCAAGGGACGTTGATTCCCGAGTACACATCAAGTGAAACATACCCCACAACACGGTTACCTGCATAACCAACACGCACGTTAAAAAGTACCACAAAAGAGTATTATCGACAAAAGTACAAGCTCAACTCTCATACATCACCATCATAATTACCATAACAGAGGAAACTTCACCAGAGAGAAAACTTACACAGCCTAAAGTATCACAACCTTACTCGCTGACAAGACCTTCCACCGTAGCCCTAACACCAAACAAACCAACCTCCGGACATCCAATTCCCATATCACGATAAACACAGACATTATCAGTAGTAGTTTGATACAGCGCAAAGTCGATGCGACGAGCGATATGTGCCAAAGATAAGTAGATCTCCGCATAGGCAAGACTAGATAAAGTCTTAGTATATACGTGCGAGGTGATGCATAAATATAACTCACTTCATTCCCAGACATTGTCTACTCCCTTTGGTAAACGAGACGATATACCGACTCAGATACTCCCCCTTCTCTGCAGCGCGGACCCAACGCTCTGGGTCAAATTTCTCCGGCTCAGGGAAGAGCGTGGGATCCATATGGACGAAATAATTCGACTGACTGACCGGAGTCTGCAATAGACAATTATCAGTAATTTTCTCCAAAAAAGACGAACCGCCTTTAGGCTCGCTGTCATGTGTCACGCCCAAGCGCTGCACCGGGAGGCCCAGTAAACCGGTATCATTGACTTACACCTGCAGGGATAGTCCAATCCTGGTAGAGCATGGGTTCGGTCGGTGAAACACGAGCCAATCGGGCTGTCATGCCATGGCTGAGACGTAGACCTTCATTAACGACACCCGTCTAGTTCGGGAAATAACAAAATCAGCAATCCAAACGGAACTAAGAAAGGGTCCATAAACGAGAACCTACCAAATATGGTAATCGCTCCAAATCCACCCACGAAGCCTTGGACAGCGGTGTCGGCAGCACAGTCTTCAACTCCGCCCGCAGCTTCGCCATAATCTCCTTATTGCTGATGAGATGAAACATCGCAACAGTAATAGACCTAGCCGTAGTCTCGGTACCAGCGCCAAGCAGCAGCGCAGACTCATCCTCCAGGCGATCAAGCGTCCTCTCACTATCGGGTAACTCCAAACTCGTCAACGCATCAAATATAGTCGGCCTCGTCTCATGATCAAGTTTCCGCAGACCCTGCTTTTGCAGAGTATCACTCGCCTGCTGTCTAAGCCTAGCCTTTAAATCAAACAAATCTGCCATCTGCGGCTGCAGCCAGCGCAGAAGTGTAGGCGATACATTCCTGAAAACGGTAATCAGGAATGGGAAGAACCGATTGATGTGGAACATAACCATCAGTCCGTTAACTGCGTCGACGAGGTCGTTACTTCGCGATCCTTTCTCGCCGTCCAGGTAGCCGTAGCTCCAGCCGTAACAGTAGTCGGTAATAACGTCTGCGGTCAGCGCAGCGAAGTCTAGTTGCAAGTGCAGCACGTCACCGGCTTCGTGGGCTTGCTCGAAGCGCGCGATTAGCTTGCTGACCTTGTCGTCGATGGACGGGCCAAGGTCAACCACCGAGCGTTTGGAGAAGTAGTTGCTCAGCAGGCCGCGGCGGAAGCGGTGGTGGTCGTGCGCTATTGTTCCTACGAGGGAGTTGGGCGCGCCGAAAGCTATGGCGTATTTAGGATCTTTAGAGCGTTTGCGCGAGGCGCCGGCGTGAATTTCATCATAGTAGTTTGGGTCTTTGATGTGAATTTCTCGTGGACTGATGCGCACGATGGGGCCTGTATGAGTTAGTGAATTGTACATTTTGGCATGTGTTTGTTAGTTTGCAACGGATGTATATACTCACCATACTTCTTGTGCATGTGCTCAATCTCCCAGATATACATGCCGCTTTTAATTACATCATAATAAAACTCGTAGAGAGAGGTTGCAGCAGCGAGTTTTGGACCAGGGAACCTGGACAGCGGATGGAAGTACAGATGGTACACAGTGCGAAAAGCCAGCAGTCCCAACGGCAACGCCGCTAAGGACACGAATAGTGTCAAGGAATCCATTATAGGCGAATAGCTCACTAATAGCGAGGAAGAGGAGCGAAAGCCGTTTATTATATAGGAGGGGCGATGACATGTTCAGATGGAAGAAATTGCCCCACGAGTTAGGTAGTGCATAGATAGTGCATAGTGCATTAGCTAGCGTACGGGAATACAATGGATCTCTTTCCTGATTCAACACGCTTATTTTGACAATGCAACCATTCCTGGGTACCAATACGTCTCCAAGGAGTCGGTAATGTACTATATAGGGCTACCATTCGTCGAGTATTATCCCATTTCACCCACTGTGCAGATGCAGGCGCATCAAACGCTAGGGTCAGATCGAGCACACTCCTCCTCGTCCTTGACCACGGGAACAATGGGACACCCCCTGGTTTTAACGGATGTGATGTGATATGTAGATGACGAGATACAGCACGCGTGTGAGCCCACCATTTGAGCAGCCAATTAATATCCTGGTATTGAGGTGTTGGATTTCACAGCCCGCTTTTATCTGCAGCCAACAAGAGGACAAAGCAAAAAGACAAGTACGATTGTACGAGACTTGGCCCAAAAAAGTAAGAGACAATGGACTATCTGGTAATCGAAACCAGGACCTCCCGCACGCTCGCAATAATGCGAAGCGGGCGCACTACCAACTGTGCTAACAGCCCAGTTGAGTATCGCTCGTGTCGGTATCATGAGATTTGTGGAAGTGGGCTTGTTAGCGTGGTAGTGGTTTTAGTGTGGGCATAGCCGAGTAAGCCTAGCCCATACAGGGATAAGTGTATTGGGGATTCGCTTAGCATCTGTTATTAGGGACATAGTTATGGTGTTGACCAATCTATACTTGTAGATTGTTGTATATGGATTTATATGGAAATATCAGATATCGAGATTGATAGATTGATACAATACAAAGGTATAGGTTGCGCTATCATCAGCCGAATGGACTACCAGTGCATTCCTATAAGAAACAAAGGTCCACAATTTACACCTATAGAAACATCCGTGGAATAGTCGGAAAAAAAGTAAAACGAAAATAGGAAATAGAGAAACAGAGGAAAGGCGACTGGAAAGGCATTGGACAGAAAAAGAAAATTCCGCGGTACTCCGTTTTATATCCACAAATCTAGACGGCCAACATCTTCTTGATCTCGGCAATGGCGCGACCTGGGTTCAGGCCCTTGGGGCAAGTCCGTGTGCAGTTGAGAATGGTGTGGCAACGGTAGACGCTCATGCTGTTGTCGAGAGCGGCCTTGCGCTCGGCGGTCTTCTCGTCACGGGAATCGGCCAACCAACGGAAGGACTGGAGGAGGATAGCGGGTCCAAGGTACTCCTCGCTGTTCCACCAGTAGGAAGGGCAGGAGGTTGAGCAGCAGGCGCACAGAATGCATTCGTAGAGACCGTCGAGCTTCTTGCGATCCTCGGGGGATTGGCGGAATTCGAGACCCTGACAATTATTAGATTTTATAGGTGATGCTGGTATACAAGTTAACTCACATCTTCGGTGGGGGTGTCGCGCTGGAGATATGGCTTGATAGACTTGTATTGCTTGTAGAAGTGGGTCATATCAGGGACCAAGTCCTTGACGACGTAAGTGTGAGGCAAAGGGTAGATGCGAGACTCGGACTTGGTATCGGTGGGAATGCGGCCTATACGGATAAAGAATTAGCATTCAGTCGGGAGCTGTCGGGTGCTTCGACAAAGCGAATGTGCGGGTCCGGGTACATACACAAGCAGGCAAGAGTGTTAACACCGTCGATGTTCATAGCGCAAGAACCGCAGATACCCTCACGGCAAGATCTCCGGAAAGTCAGGGTAGGGTCGAGTTCGTTCTTTATCCGAATGAGCGCATCGAGCATCATGGGTCCAGTCTTGTTCAGGTCGAGGTCGTAGGACTGCATCTGGGGCTTCTCGCTGGGTGTGTCCGGGTTCCAGCGGTAGACCTTGAAGGTCTTCATCTTAGGCTGCTCGGAGGGAGTAGGCTCGACGGTCGCATAGGTGCGAGCGAAGGCAGGGCGGAACATTGGCCGCGATGCCGCGAACAATCGCGAGGTGGTACGGAGGGAGGCCATGACGGGTGATCGGAAATGTGAAAAACACCGAGGCGAAAAGGAAGAGATGGTGGAGAGGGTAGAGAAACTGGGGTTGATAGCAGAAAGACGAAAGAAGAGGGGAGAGATTTCAAAAGTGTGAATGTAGCGACGACGAAGTCGAGATTCACGGTCCAACAGAGATCCTCAACAGTAAAATGAAGTCCAAGGAGTCTCTTCGCTAGTAACCTCGGGTTTGACGGGTCGGGTGTGTAGATGCTGACATCAGCGGGTCTCAGCCAATCAGAGCGAGGGTGTTTACAAGCCTCGGGCGGACACGGCGGTGACTTGATCTACTGCCGATACTACGCTCACATAGCTATAGGTATATGTGTTGAAAACTGGTCAATTGGAAATATCAGTATGATAGGATTGTTACAGTATATCAATCTTCCTATCTTATCTACCACAACCCTTTATTGATCAGCTCTGGAGTGATTCCCCAGTCAAAACCCACAAAAGTGGGTGCCTCAGGCTCCAAGGCCACTCCCGATCTGGTTGCCGAGACTGGATAACGGCTACTCCGGCCGACTCACATGCCTTTGGAAACTGCCACATTGTCATATTAACATTATTATTCGACTTTTCTAGCCACTAGCTAAATGACTAACTAACTGCGATTAACATAGTTCTGATGCCATTCATAGTCCCGATTCTCCCTCAAGAAAGCCTGAATAGCCTCACGTGGGGGCACGGGTTGTCGATCCAGCAGGTCCGCCATGAGCGGATCAATCGTGCACGTCTCTCCCTTGGAAATACCCTCATACCACGACAACAGCGCCTGGAAGAACCCTTCCCCCTTCCCGCCCTCGTCACTAGCTGTTTTCAACCGCACAAACTCTTCCGGCGAGACAAGCTCGAACTGAACATTTCGGCCGGTTGTCTCGTTGATCAGATCCACGATCTCAGAGAATGTGACAGTCTGCTGCGCAGTGAGAAGCACGGTCTCTCGGTCGTATCCGCCCCGAATCATCAGTCGCGCATTCGCCTCGCCTAGCTCCGACCGCAGTGTAAAGGCAATCGGTCCATCGGAGGGGAGGTAAACGGTAGATGTACTTGGATACCAGCCCATGAAGATCGGGAATGCGTCTGTGTAAAGACCCTCACGGATGGAGGTGAAGTTGATACCGGTTCTGGTTGGTGTTAGTGGGGATGGATAGATTGTCACGGTCGAGGCTTGGCTTACTCTTTCATCATTTCCTCTGTCATCAGATGGCCTTGTTGGACAGCTGCCTTGGAGTCGGAATTGTATCCGCCGAATGCAAGAGATGTATACCACAACTGCGGCTTCCATGTTAGCTGGGGTAGTTGTGTGGGGAGATTGATGACTTGCGTGTTTCACGTTCATCTTCTTCGCTGCTACTACAAAGTTTTGGTGCTGCTTGCGCCGCTTCTCGATGTCGAAGGTGTTTGTGCTAACGAAGAAGATGTTCTCCACGTCTTCGAATGCGGTCTCTAATGTCTGGGGGTCGTCATAGCTTGCTAGTCGGAATGCGATCCCTCGGTCTTCGAATTGTTTGCGATTCTCCTCTTTCGAGGACGCTGCGGCATATTCTGATGCCGGGACATTCGCAGCAAGGTAGGAGAGGACTCCGGCACCCAGGCCTCCAGTCGCTCCTGTAATGAGGTATTTAAGTGTCATTTTGAATAGTCGTGGAAATTATGAATGTTTTTGACCAAGGATTACTGGGACGAGTCAATGTAGTAAAGTAGATGTCTTATTCTCTAGAACACCGATGTTCTCGCGCTTTTATACATCGAAAGTTCATTGCATGACAGTTGATCGTTACCAGCTTCGTATTAGAATCGGTCTGGATTATTTGATCATGTTGGTAAGCACTAGAATTGATAATCAGCTTGAACTAGTTACAGCCTAAAGGGGTTGGTTCATGCATTTAAAATGACAACGTTGCATTTGGGGCCAGCATTGGCATTGGGGGCCATCGAGTTTGCTCCGAAGCAAACCGGTTTGATATTCAGATGTGAAGCTGATCTGACAACATCGCGAGATCAAGCTTAATCTCGGAATCCGGCAATGTAAGATCAGGAACTCTCTAAACTGTGGATCTGTTTGGACCATTTTCTGCATAAAGAGAAGGCAAAGACCGAGGCGCTTCCAACGCAATTTTATATCCACCCCAAACCCAATGGACATATAGTGATCCCCACAATACGGAACTCAAACTAAGACAGATTTTAAGCGCCGAATGAGGACCCAACTCGAAGATAATCACACTTTCATGTCTCACTAACAAACTAAACGCTGCACTATTGAACGCCTCCAGCCCCCAAAAAGAAATTACCAACGTCATCTATTCACCAGAAACAAGCCACGCAAAGAACCCCTTTGGTTTATCACGTCTATGTCCATCACGTTTTTGCATAGTACCTGCACCAGGAATACCTGCACCAGAAGCACCTGCACCCGGGGCACCTGCACTGGAGAGGGTCTTTTACCAGAGGGTTTTGTCAGGGTTTTTGGCTTCTCCGCCGGCTTGTCATACACCTCCTGATATTTGAGCGGATTGATTTTGGGATCCACAAGCTCCTTGGTTAATCCAATAAATTTGCCGAACTCGCAGCGCTTGTATTCAACCCTCGTTGCGTGTGCTTCATACAACTGCTCCCCGTCAGGTCGGAGCCATGGATTAATCCTCGGGGGATTGCCGAGTTCACCAATAGAATACCGTGGACTAGTATTTTCTGGAGTTGGGGGATATGTTTGATGAAAAAACTTGATCAGTTTGTCAAGTTTATTTTCATCGAGCTTGTAGTACTGTTCGAGAGTTGTTGCAAAGAGGATATTGCTTTCCCCATAGCAGGACACGAGTTCAAATATGGGTGGGTGTTTTGACGTTGACTCTGAGATGCGAGCGTGGAGGGTGGGGTGGTGGTCCTGGGTCATCAGGATCAGTGGGAACAGTGGGAACAGCTCCTGGAGCTGTGGTAGTGGCAGCAAAGTAGGACTTGAAGTTGAAGAATTTCATAACTTGAACTGGGCTTAGGAGAATAGATGAGACTGAGATGGCGATATGCGTAATTATCGAGACAGAATATACTGTTTATATATGGCCCACGATACAGTTGTGCGAACTCATTATCTATATCGCATTTCTGTTATTGAAACGTCCTCAAAATAGCCCTCAGCTGTTGGATGGCGGCAAGCCAGTCATCGTGAGTTTCACTCTCACACGTCAAAACATCGAGGTCTTTTTTCAACCAAGAAAATCCCGAGCTTTGTCTATATTGCTTCGATTATTCGTTTCATGCCTAACAGTCTGAAGCCACGGCGACAAAGGACTGGATGAACAGGTTGTTTATATGGCGTGTCTGATACTATGTGTTGATATAGAGCGAGGTCTCGTCAGCAAACGAAATGATAGTTCACGCCATATATGCAGAGCGCGTAGAATATCGTAACGAAAGACATTTAACGTCATATAAGTAGTCTCTATATCTATTAAAACAAAGAGAAAAGCCCCTCTAACTCTCCCTAGACCCAGGCTTCTCAACACTAACCCTCTCCTCCCCACGACTAATATTAACTTCATTCGTAACCCGAATCCCAGGACTCCTCGAACCATGCTTCTTCTTCTCCTTCCTACTGCCATCACTTCCGCTCGAGCCACCTCTAATATCTCTCGAAACCGAGACCTCGGAAGGCATCATCTCATAATCATCCTTCCCAATCTTAGACCAGTTAATGAGACGCTTGCTATCCCGATTGCTGGAGACCGCACCACTACCAATAGTCTTTGAATGGCCGAGGCTGTGCAGTTTTGTCGAGCGCGTGCGTGTGTGGCTGGAGGTGTACTCGGTGAGATGCGCAAACAGGTTTCCGAAGACGGGTTTCAGCGCTGGCACGGAGAGCGCCACTAGAGTTGCGGCGATCTCGGCGTTCTCGACACACATCATTGGATTATAGGCCCAGCTACCGTCGGAGTTCCATTGGCCCACTGCTACGAGCCAGACGCGAACTGCGGAAATGACGATTACGCTGTGTGGTATTAGATTTGTGGGACTTGCTTGGGGGAAATGAGTTACTCACAAGACACCGGGGAACATCACAATTGATAACTTGATCTTTTTTTCCAAGGAGACGTGTAGTCCCTTGATGAGTGCGGCCGGGATGACGAACATCAGTAGGTCGCATGCGAGCGATAGAGCCGAGTTCACCGAGTACACGAGTCCCCATGAGAGACATTTGTAGGTCTTTGGCTCGACTTGCCACTCGTAGGGCCACAGCCCTGTTACCGGTTTGCAGTGGAAGATCAGGAGGAAGATCTGGGGTAAGTAGGCGGCGAGAAGGAGGGGTGCGGCGATGATAATGCTCAGGTGGAGTTTTGTTGAGCGGGCTGTGAGGCGGTAATAGAAGGCTAGACCGGAGAGACGGCAGAGGAATAGAGCCGTTGTATAGAGAATGTGGGCGACGAAGTCTAGGACTTCGGTGTCACGGACGGTGTCAGGTGATAGCACATATTGGATGTATTCGATGTGGCGACCACTTCCTAAGTTGATCAGGATAATGGAGAGGACGACAAATGTAATGTAGAAGACCTGCAATGGGATATATTGTTAGTTACTATATTTTTGGTAGCTATCCCTAACCAATTCTGTCGTGCATGATAATCGAGCCGCCATGCATCGCCGTGCATATTTAGTGCCGATCTGGGGTGAAAAGTGGATGAGCCTTACCAATGTCACGATTGCCAGTGCATCGTCCAAACCAATCTTCTTCACGATAAATGCCCGGGCGTATAGTCGTACAATCATCAACAGGCCGGTGAAACATATCATGAAGATGATTCCCACAATGGCGGGGCTATCGCGGGTCTCGGCGAGGTATTTGAGAGTGACATCGCTGGGGATCCTCCCTGCTGCATGTGCAGCAAGAATATCATCGGGTATAGTCATATTAAAATTCAAAGGAGCGACATGATTAGAAGTAAGAAAGATGTAGAGGTATCAAGACAGGGAAAAAT